GGATTCTCTGATTCTGTGATTTTGGGTCATTTGGGGAAATCTGAGCTCTCCTGGTGACCAGCAGCTCTGCTGTCCCACCCAGCCAGGCCACCACTGTCCTCCCTGCAGAGCATCATCTCCTGCTCTTGGCTCCAGCCCCGGTGCCCCCTCCAGAGGACACAGCAGATGCAGAGCGAGTGACGTTGGGGGATTTTTGTGCTTGATTGACATAATTAAAGGAGCAGTTTCAATGTTTACTCTGGAAACAGCCACAGCAGTTTAAGGTGTCACTGCTGGCAGCTGTTGAGTCGAAACAAACTTCAGCGAGGGTTTAGCTGGACGGAGAGACTTTGGAGGAAAAGCACCTTTGGGAAACATCCTGCACACATTGCCAGAAGGAGAATATCTCCAGGGAAAAGCCAAGAGAATGAAGGTCAGGAGGGCCTTCTACCTCATGCACCTTTCTGAAGTGAAAACATGGTTTAAGCTGAAGAAAACACCCTTCCAGCAACACAAAACCATGGGCTGAGCATGAGTTGTCCCACAAAAAAATAAATTTTTTGTGGTTAGGCTGGCTTAGCTAAGCCAGAGCAGCTCTGGAATGCTGATCCAGCCTGAGAGCATCCTAATTTTATGAGCTTTACAGGAGAGCAACCCCGGCAGCTGCTGCCTGAGGATGCTGTGGCAGCTCTGCCACAAGATGATCTGGAGATGAAGAAAAGAGTAGGAATGCTCCTCTTTTATGGACAAAACTGTTTTGCTCCCTGTTTCTCTCTCAGCTCTTGCCCATTGCCAGCAGCTTTGTGTCTCTTCCACCAACACTGCACAGCCAGCTCCAGGGCCTCTCCTAATCTAGACTAACATACCCGAGCTCTTGGACCTTCTGCTGCTCTTCAGACCCTCCAAGAAGGTCTTCTCTGTGAGGAAGAGACTTTAGGACAAGGAGGTAAGAAGAGTTTGTGTCCTTCAGTCTCCACTCAGACAACACTTTTAAAGGGGCCACAGCAGATGTTAATGATGATGGACTGAGCTTCCTCACCGGCCAAAAATCTGGGCTCTCCCACCACAGAGCTCAGCCTACAGGGGCACCTGAGGCTGAACTCTCACAGACCTGGGTTGTCTATGCACAGACCAGCTGCCTGATGGGCTTAAAGTCTGGAAGGAGCAGGAAGCTGGACAAAGGCTACTGGAAAAGCCTCAGATGACAGCGGGGAGAAAACCTCTCCAATTCCCAAATTTCATCGCGATCACCAGACAAAAGGATTCACAGCAGCCTCTGAATGAAGGGAAGCAGGGATGAGAAGCCCAGCTTCGTGCAACTATTCCCCCCATCCCTTTGACACGGGGGGCACCAACGAATTTCCACTGTCAGCCCCACCCCATCTCCCGTATCAAAGCTGCCAGCGGGGACATTATTTATAAAGCTTCAACGAGGATACATCTGCACGAAATAACTGACACCGTGTTCCCTGCGTGGCATATGCAGGCTCAAAATAAACATTGGTTCTATATGTTAACTGCTTCCCCAGAGCGTCCAAGCAGCAGGAAATGCATGAAACATGGGGGGAAAAGAATGGAGCGCCGCGGAGCTCGGCAGTGGGAGGTAACATCGAATTCCTTGGAGAGCAGAGAAGGCGGCCCCGGGAAGTTAAAATACACAGCAGGCAAAGAGATGAGAGGAGCCAAGAGAGCTGAAAAAAAAATGGCACAAGAGACGGGAGAGGCAGCTGGGGGAGTTAAAACATGCAGATGGAGAGATGGCTGAGAGAGAGGAAAGACCTGGATCCAAGTGGAAAGACGGCGACCAGGAACTGGCCACTTAAAATAAACTTCTTGAATGCCGAGGAGGAAAGGAGGGAGGGAGTTTTCCAGGAATCTGAAAACCCCTGCTGGGAGCACAAAGAGGGTTCCTGGAGGGGTGAGACTGCCCACCCAGCTCACCCGTGGTCAGCCAGGCTCCAAGGCAAGGCAGGAGAGCCGCTCCAATCCTTCCCCACAATCCCAAATGCAAACGGCTTGGGAGGATCCAGACTGAGACTTCTGATTCCAGCTCTCCAGCCTCCAAATAATGAGCCATCACTCTCCCCTTTCTCCTCTACAGACACTGTAAGGATTCCTACAAATACATGGATAATGCAGGCCTGGATGTCATTCCCATGGAAAATGTCCTGGTTGAACTGAAATCCCACTGAATTAAAAAAGTTAAACTTTTCCCCAAAAGCTCCAAGTCTTTTTTTTTGTTTCCCAAATGAGGTTTCACCTCTGACCGTGCCCTTCAGCAACCACTTACAAAGATCTGTGAGGCAACACCCGCGCTGTGAATCCCTCGGGTGTGGACAGGGATGTTCCCCACGTCCCAAAGGTGCTTCCATGTCTTCCAGGGACACCACCACCACCTCCACCAGCGTGTCCAAACCACACCCCACTCCCTACCCCTGCTGTTTCTCACTCCCAGGCTTCCAGGAATCCAAAGATATTTGACGGAAAATCTAACAGGAGGCACGAAGCTCTGGGGAGAATTCACACGGGCAAAAGCAGCGCCCAGATATTTTTATATATTTACATGTTTATATATTTATATAAAAATATATTTATATATTTATATATATTTATATATTTTTATATATTTATTTTTTTAGGAGTTTCACTGGGAAGGAAAATATTCTTTCACAAACATGAATTAAGTCTTTCTATTAGTTAAAATGTGAATTTTTAGAGGACAATCTCCTGTGTGCCCACAGATAAAACCAGTTTTGACAATGCACAGGTGCATTTCGTAAAACTCTTACACCAGCACAAGAATTTATGACGCCCTCCCCGAGTACCAAAAACGTTACTATTGGTTTTATTTTGCTCCCAAGCACGCAGCAAATTTTCCTCTCAGTTTTATTTTGTGCCAGTGAAATTTCACCCTCAGCTTTACTTAAGCTTGTGGGTGCTTAGGAAGACCCAGGATGGTCCCTCGGTGTTCCCTTCTCAGAGACAACGATTTAACAACTTGTTTCTCCCCACCCGCGGGCCACGGGAGGAATTAATACTGGTGAGAAGCTCTGGGTGCTGGAGGGGCACCAGGCCTGTATCTACATTTTTTAAATTTAGATGTTACAAAATCAAGCCTCCAAATTTACAGGAGCGGCCCCGACCCTTCTTGCTGAGGAGAGAAAATCGCCCGAGGGCGTTTCCACGAGGATAAACAAAGCTCACCAAAGGTCTGGGTCAGTCCCTAATCGTGCTAATTGTTATTTACTCTGTCACTGGAGCCACTAACGACAGATTTGTTTAAGGAGAGCCTCCAGTTTCCATGCTGGGACAAAGGCAGCAAGTCCTTTAGCATCCCCATCTTTCAGTGGGCTAATCAGGAGGAGATCCCCACCCCACGGATCATTCACACCTAACGAGCTGCTGATGGGCGTCCTAAGGGAGCCACGAGCACCCAGCGGCTCCAAACAGGCTCCCAGAATCCCTGGGATGAAGGAAAAGTGGGGGTGTTGGAAAGCACGATGGGAGAAAGGCCAACGGAGGGGGAAGTTCGGGTGTTTAGCAATTAAAAAACTCTGCTGCGAGATAACTGAGCAACCTGGGATAGTGGAAGGCGCTCCAGTTGGAACTGGGTGGTCTTTAAGGTCCCTTCCAACTCAACCCCTTCCATGACTCTGTGATAACTGGGCATGAAATAATAACCCTGCCCTTTCCTTCCCACTGGCCAGGCACTGCTGCTCCACAGATCCACCTGCCAGGAGAGACAACGGCTTAAACAGTGATGGAAATCAAATTTCTGCTGAATATATGAAGAATTTCTTCTTCTTCTCTGAGGAGCAGCTGAGGCTCAGGGTGGATCTCAGCAGAGGGTTCTTCCCCCAGAGGGTGGTTGGCACTGCCCAGGCTCCCCAGGGCAGTGGGCACAGCCCCAAGGCTGCCAGAGCTGCAGGAGGGTTTGGACGATGCCCTCAGGGACAGGGTGGGTTCTACATTCCCCATCTCTGGCTGAACACCAGGCAAGACCTTCAGTCTGACCCCACGTGGCTGCCCTAATGTTTACGAAGTGCAGGAGTGAAAACTCACGGACAGTTTTCCACACAATTCACAGAGTTTTTTGGTTCTGACTGACCCTAAAGAAAAGGGTGATTCAAACTGCCAGGGGGCCAGGGAGACGATTTAAAATAATCACGTCAATGTAGCACTTTAACAGCTTTGACAATGGTCCAAAATGATGGCATATTGAAATCTTAATAAGAAAAAAAAAAGTCTTTGGTGGACTTTGAAGAGAGAGCTTGTCACTCTCAACAACTCCCTGACAGGAGGGGGGAGCCGGGGGGGGGTCGGGCTCTGCTCCCAGGGAACAGGGACAGGAGGAGAGGGAACAACCTCCAGCTGTGCCAGGGGAGGTTCAGGTTGGATATCAGGGAAAATTCCTTCCTGGAAAGGGTTGCCCATCCCTGGCACAGCTGCCCAGGGCAGGGGTGGAGTCCCCATCCCTGGAGGGATTTCACATCCCTGTGGATGTGTCCCTTGGGGACAGGGGTCAGTGGTGGCCTTGGCAGTGCTGGGGATTGGTTGGAGGGGGTTTTTCCAACCCAAACAATCCTGTGACTCTATAAAATACCAATAAACGACAGCTACTGAGGATCTTTTACCCCCTTCCCCTTGCAAATCCCCTCTTCAGCCCCAGCACTTACTTTTCCAGGAGGGACATGATAATTGGAGGTAGAACCAGTATAGGCATGGGCAGGACCACTCTGGTCAGGGCTGTTTCCAGCAGCGCCTGCAAAGGGAAAACAAACAAACAAACAGACCCATGACACTTCAAACAAACCCCGGGATGTACCTGCTGAGCTCAGAAATGCCTTGGCTGGTCTTTTTTTTTTGTGTGTGTGTGTGTGTTGTTCACGTGATTGAAAGCACCAACACACACTTCAGAACTTTGCCAGCAGCTGTTCGTGCACAACCTCTTTTGCCCTCCACAAACCCAGCAGGGTAAAGACAGGCAGGCAAGAGCTTCCCTGATCTCACCTCCTGTGTTCAAACATCCCATTCCCTTCCTACACAAACCTGTTGGTGCCTCCTGGAGGAAGAAAGAGAGGCAGAACAGCTGCCTGGAAGATGTGGGGAGGTGAAACAACTCAGTGTGGGCCGGGCAGCAGCTTCAACTCTTCCCCCCCTCAACTGAGTTTTGATTTCAGTTCCATGAACCGGGGGAATGAGCACCTCATTGCCTGCCCCAAGACTTGCTCCTGGTTTTTAATCACTGGTGGTTTATTGCAAAGGGGGTTCTCCTCTCCCAGGAAAACACACAACTGTGGAAGGACTGTTGTCCTTCCACTGGTGCTTTCTCCCTGGCAAAATTCACCAGGATGCAGCAAACAAAGCAGCCTGATATATATAAAATACCCTGAGACCTGGAGAAGATTTTTCAGGGGAACACACAATTGCCTTCTAGCCCTTTCCCATGCCTAAAGGAGTTCCAGGAGAGCTGGAGAGGGACTGGGGACAAGGCAGGGAGGGACAGCACACAGGGAATGGCTTCCCACTGCCAGAGGGAAGGGTTAGATGGGATATTGGGAAGGAATTGCTGGCTGGGAGGGTGGGCAGGCCCTGGCCCAGGTTGGGCAGAGAAGCTGTGGCTGCCCCTGGATCCCTGGAAGTGTCCAAGGCCAGGTTGGAGCAACCTGAGCTGGTGGAAGGTGTCCCTGCCCATGGCAGGGGGTGGGACTGAAGGTCCTTAAGGTCCCTTCCAACCCAAATCATTCCACAACTCTATGTCACAGGAACATCCACGGGAGGTCCTCGGGACCCTTCACTCACAACAACCTCTCAGAGAGGTGCAGTGTGTTCCACGAAGGATCTGCCAAATCTCACACGGCAAAACTCAGCACTAAGCTGTTCAGGAAGAAGAACAACTTAGGATTCCACAGCAGCTGAGCAGAAGTTCTCCGAACTCAAAAATTTTAAGTTTAAACCCCACCTACATCGCCCTTACAGCACCTTCCCTTTTCTTATTTATTTTCCCTCTTGTCTGTCTTCCCCTCAACCATCAGGATGGAGAGGGGAACTTTGGTCCCTAAGCCAGTTGATACAAGTGAGGAAAACTGGCTCAAATCAGCATCCCTGAGCCCTTCAACAGATTGTTTTAATCTCCCTGTTAAACAACAATATGGAGAGATATTAGAGATCTCCCATTTCTCGCCGAGGACTGCAAATCTGTACATTAATTGCTGTCTACGAAGTGCCTTAAGAGCCTTGGACAGAAGGAGGGAGAGAAATGCCAAGCATTATATTATTAACTCCTCTGCCTGGGCGTGTGCTTGGGTACATGCTTTACATTTCAGATTAAAGCCCACTTGGAAACAATCAGATGATGCTCAGCAAACAAAACCGTGCAGGAAGGGATGGAAAGGGGAAAAAAATTCCAGGCAGATGGCGGGGGGTAGGTTACAGGGAAAACAAGCCAGGTGTTGGGAGGAGGGTAAAAACATCTGGCTGCCCTCCCAGAGCTCTGCCTGGCAACTTTTAGTGCAGTTTTGACACGGGAAGGGTTAAAAAGCAGCTCGGCTCGGAGAGGGAATCGTCCTCATTTAGAAAAAGGTGCAAGTTATCTTTGCTTTGTATCCAACAGGAACTGCTCACAGGTTCCCACAAAGAATTCCTGTGAAAGCATCAGGGCAGTACAGGATCTTCCCACGTCAGTCTGTGCCCCCCCCCAGACCATCAAGGTCAGTCCCCAAACGAGCCCGTGTCCACCAGAACATTCAAAAAGGATGGGCAAAGCTCATCTCCTTCCAGCCCTGGATTCCTACACCTGTGGGATTCGTGGAATCCAGGTGAGTCCCAGCCCACCAGGAACATCCCAGGCACGTACGTGTTTTGCAGCAATTCTGGAGGAGCCGACGATGTTCCCGTTGTTGTCCAACACGTCAATTCCTTCTTCCAGCTCTGTGTGCCTCATCAGGACAACGTTGCAGATATTGGCACTGGCTGAGGGTGGGAAAAGCGGGATGATTAGCCCTGGTCAGCACCCAAGGGCAGCTTCTTCAGCTTTCCTTCCTTTCCCTCCACCAACCTTCTGCAAGTTGCTCTTATCCCAAGACAAAGATGGGATTCTTCAGGGGAGAATAATAGCCAAGATCATTTTCTTTACTTGCCAAACAATCAGAAATGCCAAAGAGGAGCTGCTGATGGACAGCTGCCTCTCCTGATGGGCCATCCCAGGGTGGGATCGTGCCCTGCCCAAAACAGCACAGAAACTCTTGTTAAATAAAGGATTTTCACAGAATCATGGAACGGTTTGGGTTGGAAGGGACCTCTCATAGCCATCTACTCCACCTCCCTTTCATGAGCAGGGACACCTTCCACCATCCCAGGTTGCTCCAAGCCCTGTCCAACCTGGCCTTGGACACTTCCAGGGATCCAGGAGCAGCCACAGCTGCCCTGGGAAAATAAGGAAAAATAGTCAGGAGGAGCAGTGGAAGGTCTGGTGGAAGATGTCCCTGCCCATGGCAGGGGGGTTGGAACTAGACAGCCTTTAAGGTCCCTTCCCACCCAAACCATCCCATGATTCCATGATCTCACACATTTTAGGGTGGAAATGGCTCCATGGGCTTATTTTCTGGAGTTACAGACCCCTCTCTTTCCTTTACCAATATTTTTCTGAGCGATGGGGGCTCTTCATCCCACCTGACATTGCCCAGTCTCAGCCCTGCACCCACAGCACAGGTGGAAGCAGGTCCAGGGCCCTTTCTGACCCCCATCTTGCCCACCCTGTGGCTTTTGCAGCCTCGAGATGACCCCAAATCCCGCTCCTGGAGCGATGTGTGAAGAGCTGGGGTTGGCAAACCCCCCTTCCAGGTGCAGCCCCTGACCGGGGCTCAGCCGCTCCTTAAATTCTTCCCCGGAAAAGCCGCTAATCCCTCCAAAACTTTGGGGTTTGACAAACTGGCATTTTCCAGCACCTCCCCACCACCACGTTTCGCCTCAAACTTCCCGACCAGAACTAAATCCAAGCCCACTGTCGCCGCAAAGCAGCACCGCTTTCCAAAAATGCGCTTCTGTGCTGCCTGACGGGTTAATACTCGCTAATTAATCTCAACTCATGTCATATAACAAATGTCTAATTTTTTTGAGGGGTGGTGGGTGGGTGAGCCCTATAAGAACGCAGCTCCCTGCAATCAAGGATGATTTGTGGTGACAAATGCTCCTTCCACTCGAGAGGGAGAGGAACACACACACACACACACACGCACACTCTGTCTCTCTCTCTCTCCAACATTCCAACTACGGGACCGCTCTTCCCGTCTATCAAAAAGAATCTGCGTTATCAACCCTTCAGCCCCTTCATCCCAGCTGAAAAAGCAAACAGGCAGTTCATTTAAAGAAAGTTTCGCTCCCCCCCACCACCACCTTGTTGTTTTTTTCCTTTTTTTCTTTTTTAACACTCGCATGCCCCGTTTCTTCTACTTGTCAATCAAGACCGAATGGATTTAAAAAAAAAAAAAAAACATCGGTGGAGATGCTCTGGCCAAGGATGCAGCAGCACGAGGTTCCTGTGAGACTCAGGATGGGGTGGCCAGGCCTGAAGCTCCCAAAACGCTTCTCTGGATTCGCTGACCTGGTCCCCAAACTCAAAAACCTGATTCCAGCCCGTTTGTCTGAGATGGGCAACTCACTGGACTGCTCCCCTTCTGCCTCCTGAGAAAGCAGAAAATGCTGCTAATTGTGGTTAAATTTGGATTTTATGGATGTCTCAAACAATGAGGGGGGGAGAAATAAAGAAATTTCTGTGCAGACAAATTGATTTTCGGAATTTGGGAGGGAATTGTGGTGATAAACCCTAGAAACTACTGCTGTGAAAACACTCCGTGGTGTATTGGAAAATGGGGTTCAGACACCAAAACAAGCTACTTTTATATGTTTATATATATATATTTTCTATACCAGGGTGCTCTCCACACACTAAACACATCCTTGTGTGTCACCTAAACACATGTAACAATTTTAACCACATATATACATTAAAAAAAAGCTCAGGGAGATGAAATCCTTCATCCCTCTCCCATCCCTGTAATAAGCATCTTTCTACAGCTTTAACTTCCTTCAGAGCAGGTTTGGGATGCAACCTTCAGGGTTTTCTGTGGGGTTTTTTAGCCAAGAACATCTCCAGTGGCACCCATCACCTCGGTGACAGCTCTTTACACCCAGTTCTTGGGAAGAAGAGGGGAAATTAGGCTGCTTGCAATGACCCGGGGCATTGATATCCTTCCCCACCTCATCCCTGAGAAAGGACCAAACCCTTCCTTGCTCAAATTGAGCTCTCCAGATCACAGCTCCAACACACTCCCTGTTCTTCCCATGGAGAACACCTTCACCAAATGATGCTCCAGGGTGGCCAACATCAACCCCAAACCCCTTTTACACCAGGGCAGGCACTGGCTCTGCAAAACCTTGGCCATCTCCACAAGCTCCTCCACCTGGACTGGTTTGCTGGATCCACCCCCTGGGACAGGGGTAGGGGTTTTTTTTGGAAAAACATGTGATTTTCAGCTCCTGCAAACTAACTTTGGAGGAGTGTGAGGGCGTGGCCCACCCTCCTGGCACCACTTTATGTCCTACAGGCAGAACTTCTGCAGGTAGGGGTTAATTGATGGTGCAAAGACAACTGTTCCGCCATCCAGAGGAGACACACACACACACACACACACCATGCAGAGCATCTCTGAGAGCAGCAAGACCCCCAGATCAGCTTTCCCAGTGCCCACCCAAAGCTTTCTGGAGCCTTTGTGAAGATCTCTGCTGGGAATCTTGTTCCTTTCCACCCAAACAGTGGCTGCCTATTCCCAAGTCTCCATCTCCTGTGATAACTCGGGATGAGAGACCGGATTTTGGGCATCCCTCCAGTTTTCCAGCTGTTATCAACCACAGCTGGACATCAGTGGAAAAGGGAAAACTGCTTAGTGGGAGTGGTTTCACAGAATCCCAGAACCTTTAAGCTTGGAAAAGACCTCTAGGATCATGAAGTCCAAACCTTCCCCCAGGTCCACCACTAACCCATGTCCCTGAGTGCCACATCCCCCCCAAAAAACGTGGGTTTTTTTGGGAGCAAGAGCTGTCTTTTCATGTAGAAAAAGAGAAATTCTGCCTTTTTGCTGGGGGCTGGTGGTTCAAAAGTAATTGGGAGACGAGTCTTAATTAAACAGTTTGTCCAGGTCTGCAAAACCAATAACTCACAGCTTTCTGAACCACCAAACAGCAATTAGTGGGAGGACTCCTGATGTCCTGGCACATAACGAAGCATGACGGTACACAAATAAAATAGGAGCTGGAGAATTAATTACGGGCTAAACAAATTAATTATGGGTCCTCAATCAATGCCAACACAAACGTAACCTCTTCCTCCTCACACCTTGGGATGAAAATAGATCAACCCAGCAGCAAAGGCTCCTTGCTTGACTCAAACCCCGCCCTGGAGCTGCTTCCCGGAGCTTGAACTCACCCCAAGAGCCCTCCTGGTTATAAAAACCCAGAGAAAACTGAACCCCCCTAAAAGATATTCCAGGAAAATCCAGGAAAATAATGATAATAATGTCAACAGATCCCCTGTGTACGAGGAAAGGGCTCAGGGACAAGAGGGATGCAACGCCCAGACCACAATCCCCGTCACCCCCTGATCTGCAAACAGAGCAAAAGGCTGTTTTTCTGGAAGAAAAGGAGGAAAAAAACCCCAGGAACTCAGGAACTGAAGTTTGGAGGGTCAGAGCAAGCAGGTCCGTATTAAAAAAAGAGCAGAAGGACCAGAGAGCAAGAGCTAAAGGGGCTCAGGTCAAGGGGCTGAGCATCCTCGAGCGAAGCTCCAAGGATGTGGCACTTGCACAGTAAAAGGGAAAAGCTTAAAGGAAGGTTTTGCATTAAATGGCTGAAAAGGGACCTGGAACAGGGAGCAAACTCCCCTTTGTTTACTGATTTCCTCCATTCTTGGGCAATTTTTGCACCAACTTTATAAATAAACAAGCTCATGGGAAATTGTTTCCCTAAAGCCACTGGTGATTTTTTGATGGCTAAAATAACTCACCATTTGCTGAAGGTTGTTACCAGAGGCTCCAGCAAAGGTTGAGTCCAGCCTGTCCCTCCCCTCACTCAGCAAATAGTCAGTAAAATGCTGGTGAAATGCTCCAAAAAGCCTTAATTCTTCACACACTTCAGTCTGTTTTTAATCAGTGGCTCTCAGCAATCTGTATATTCAGAGTAGACACATTTTGTTGCATTTTACTGTAAACCAACCACAGTGCCACTGCTCATTTGAAGATCTGATTTTGACACGATTCAAACCAGGCCTTGCAAATTAAACGCTCTCGGATTTGAATGGGCAAGGACCAGCCAACACTGATCAATTTTTTTGTAAGCTGCTTGAGAGTGGGGAGTGCAGCTGAGAAGCCTCGTGAGCTGCCTCCAGCTTGGCACCATCTTCCTGCCAAAACGCTGCCAAACCATCCCACCGCTGTCTGCACCCACTCAGGGACCCACCACTGATGGGACACCAGCAGGAAAGCAGGAATTAGGCGTCCATCCCAGTGGGTTTTGGCCACCAGCAGGTTTACAGGCAACGCTCTGAACACAAAGGAAAGGTGTCGTTTCTTACCGACAGCAGGGAACGGCACAAACCTCTGGATCAGGAGACGAGTGGCCGGAGTAAACTTGTTTGCTCTCTGAATCAGAACATTAAGGCCCACCTTGGAATAGAAAAAAGAAAAAAAACAACAAACCAGAGGTGCAGAGACAGTTAATTACAAGCAGTAGGGCAGATGTCACAGCTTGCAGACACTTTGGGGGTCTCACCCCACACAGAAGAGTTTGAGAACTAAACCCCACACACACTGCAGGGTTTTGCCATGTTGGGTTCAACCCCTTATCCAACAAAGGGATAAATCCAACTGTTGGGCTTAAATGAAGGGTAGGACCCAAGTGCCAGGTTTATATGAAGGGCTGAACTCAAGTGTTGGGTTTATATGAAGGGTTGAACCCAACCTTTGGATTGAACTAACCACTGGGTTTAAATTAAGGATTGGACCCAACTACTGGGTTTAAATTAAGGATTGAGCCCACCCATTGGGCTTAAATGAAGAACTGAACCCAGCTATTGTGTTTAAACCCTTTCCAGCTAAAAGACAAGCAAGAAACCACTGAACACCTTTCAGTCCTTCTGGAAATCCCTTAGCTCCATTTTTAACCAGTTGACCAGCACTTTCCACAGCCAGTACCAAATCCTTGGTGCTGGGAACCCTCACCTGGCTGGGAAAAAGCCAAATATCAGTGGTGGTGGTGGTGGCCCAATACAATTAATTCCTTCTCCAGAGTCTGTGCAAACTACACCACCCCACTCCAATAAAAACCTTTGGGCTATAAAGTTTATTATAACCATGGATCAGTTTTTGTTGCCTCTTCCAACACTTAAATAGTGCTCTCCATGATTTTTCATGGATCTAAGTAATTCAGATGTTAATATAAACTAGCAAGGAGGAGTGTTGCTGCCTCATAAGCCCCAGGTTGATAATAAGTGACAGTTTGGAGAATTTCCATCAAAATTGGTTTCAGGCAGAAATGGGGTTAAAAATTAAACAAACCTGTTCATGGGGAATGACTTCTGTCTTCAAATGACTTCAGATTACTTTCCCTAATAGTATTTGCTCTTTTTCATCCAAAAAAAATGCCCCAAACCCCAAATGCACAAACAAAACCCAACAGCCCCAAGATGGGAATTTTCGGCTGGAAACGTGAGCCTTCAGCAACGTGTGGCCAAAGGGTTTTCAGCCAAAAATGCAGCAAAATTTAAGGAAAAAAAAAAAAAAAAAAGAAAAAATTCAGCCAAAGCCAAAAAGCTGCCAGAAAATAGTCATTTGGGGTGTTTCAAGACGAAAAGCAAAGCAGGGGAGAACATATTTTGCGAGCTGCTCCATTATACATGAANCGAGAGGGAGAGGAACACACACACACACACACACACGCACACTCTGTCTCTCTCTCTCTCCAACATTCCAACTACGGGACCGCTCTTCCCGTCTATCAAAAAGAATCTGCGTTATCAACCCTTCAGCCCCTTCATCCCAGCTGAAAAAGCAAACAGGCAGTTCATTTAAAGAAAGTTTCGCTCCCCCCCCCCCCCACCTTGTTGTTTTTTTCCTTTTTTTCTTTTTTAACACTCGCATGCCCCGTTTCTTCTACTTGTCAATCAAGACCGAATGGATTTTAAAAAAAAACAAAACATCGGTGGAGATGCTCTGGCCAAGGATGCAGCAGCACGAGGTTCCTGTGAGACTCAGGATGGGGTGGCCAGGCCTGAAGCTCCCAAAACGCTTCTCTGGAATCGCTGACCTGGTCCCCAAACTCAAAAACCTGATTCCAGCCCGTTTGTCTGAGATGGGCAACTCACTGGACTGCTCCCCTTCTGCCTCCTGAGAAAGCAGAAAATGCTGCTAATTGTGGCTAAATTTGGATTTTATGGATGTCTCAAACAGTGAGGGGGGAGAAATAAAGAAATTTCTGTGCAGACAAATTGATTTTCAGAATTTGGGAGGGAATTGTGGTGATAAACCCTAGAAACTACTGCTGTGAAAACACTCCGTGGTGTATTGGAAAATGGGGTTCAGACACCAAAACAAGCTACTTTTATATGTTTATATATATATATTTTCTATACCAGGGTGCTCTCCACACACTAACCACATCCTTGTGTGTCACCTAAACACATGTAACAATTTTAACCATGCACATACATTAAAAAAAAGCTCAGGGAGATGAAATCTTTCATCCCTCTCCCATCCCTGTCATAAGCATCTTTCTACAGCTTTAACTTCCTTCAGAGCAGGTTTGGGATGCAATCTTCAGGGTTTTCTGTGGGCTTTTTTAGCCAAGAACATCTCCAGTGGCACCCATCACCTCGGTGACAGCTCTTTACACCCAGTTCTCAGGAAGAAGAGGGGAAATTAGGCTGCCTGCAATGACCCTGGGCGTTGATATCCTTCCCCACCTCATCCCTGAGAAAGGACCAAACCCTTCCTTGCTCAAATTGAGCTCTCCAGATCACAGCTCCAACACACTCCCTGTTCTTCCCATGGAGAACACCTTCACCAAATGATGCTCCAGGGTGGCCAACATCAACCCCAAACCCCTTTTACACCAGGGCAGGCACTGGCTCTGCAAAACCTTGGCCATCTCCACAAGCTCCTCCACCTGGACTGGTTTGCTGGATCCACCCCCTGGGACTGGGGTAGGGGTTTTTTTTGGAAAAACATGTGATTTTCAGCTCCTGCAAACTAACTTTGGAGGAGTGTGAGGGCGTGGCCCACCCTCCTGGCACCACTTTATGTCCTACAGGCAGAACTTCTGCAGGTAGGGGTTAATTGATGGTGCAAAGACAACTGTTCCACCATCCAGAGGAGACACACACACACACACACACCCCATGCAGAGCATCTCTGAGAGCAGCAAGACCCCCAGATCAGCTTTCCCAGTGCCCACCCAAAGCTTTCTGGAGCCTTTGTGAAGATCTCTGCTGGGAATCTTGTTCCTTTCCACCCAAACAGTGGCTGCCTATTCCCAAGTCTCCATCTCCTGTGATAACTCGGGATGAGAGACCGGATTTTGGGCATCCCTCCAGTTTTCCAGCTGTTATCAACCACAGCTGGACATCAGTGGAAAAGGGAAAACTGCTTAGTGGGAGTGGTTTCACAGAATCCCAGAACCTTTAAGCTTGGAAAAGACCTCTAGGATCATGAAGTCCAAACCTTCCCCCAGGTCCACCACTAACCCACGTCCCTGAGTGCCACATCCCCTCAAAAAACGTGGGTTTTTTTGGGAGCAAGAGCTGTCTTTTCATGTAGAAAAAGAGAAATTCTGCCTTTTTGTTGGGGGCTGGTGGTTCAAAAGTAATTGGGAGACGAGTCTTAATTAAACAGTTTGTCCAGGTCTGCAAAACCAATAACTCACAGCTTTCTGAACCACCAAACAGCAATTAGTGGGAGGACTCCTGATGTCCTGGCACATAACGAAGCATGACGGTACACAAATAAAATAGGAGCTGGAGAATTAATTACGGGCTAAACAAATTAATTATGGGTCCTCAATCAATGCCAACACAAACGTAACCTCTTCCTCCTCACACCTTGGGATGAAAATAGATCAACCTGGCAGCAAAGGCTCCCTGCTTGACTCAAACCCCGCCCTGGAGCTGCTTCCTGGGGCTTGAACTCACCCCCAGAGCCCTCCTGGTTATAAAAACCCAGAGAAAACTGAACCCCCCTATAAGATATTCCAGGAAAATCCAGGAAAATAATGATAATAATGTCAACAGATCCCCTGTGTACGAGGAAAGGGCTCAGGAATAAGAGGGAGTGCAAAGCCCAGACCACAATCCCCGTCACCCCCTGATCTGCAGACAGGGCAAGAGCCTGTTTTTCTGGAATAAAAGGGGGGAAAAAAACCCAGGAACTCAGGAATTGAAGTTTGAAGGGTCAGAGCAAGCAGATCTACATTAAAAAAGGAGCAGAAGGACCAGAGAGCAAGAGCTAAAGGGGCTCAGGTCAAGGGGCTGAGCATCCTCGAGCAAAGCTCCAAGGATGTGGCACTTGCACAGTAAAAGGGAAAAGCCTAAAGGAAGGTTTTGCATTAAATGGCTGAAAAGGGACCTGGAACAGGGAGCAAACTCCCCTTTGTTTACTGATTTCCTCCATTCTTGGGCAATTTTTGCACCAACTTTATAAATGAACAAGCTCATGGAAAATTGTTTCCCTAAAGCCACTGGTGATTTTTTGATGGCTAAAATAACTCACCATTTGCTGAAGGTTGTTACCAGAGGCTCCAGCAAAGGCTGAGTCCAGCCTGTCCCTCCCCTCACTCAGCAAATAGTCAATAAAATGCTGGTGAAATGCTCCAAAAAGCCTTAATTCTTCACACACTTCAGTCTGTTTTTAATCAGTGGCTCTCAGCAATCTGTATACTCAGAGCAGAAACATTTCATTGCATTTTACTGTAAACCAACCACAGTGCCACTGCTCATTTGAAGATCTGATTTTGACACGATTCAAACCAGGCCTTGCAAATTAAACGCTCTCGGATTTGAATGGACAAGGACCAGCCAACACTGATCAATTTTTTTGTAAGCTGCTTGAGAGTGGAGAGTGCAGCTGAGAAGCCTCGTGAGCTGCCTCCAGCTTGGCACCATCTTCCTCCCAAAACGCTGCCAAACCATCCCACCACTGTCTGCACCCACTCAGGGACCCACCACTGATGGGACACCAGCAGGAAAGCAGGAATTAGGCGTCCATCCCAGTGGGTTTTGGCCACCAGCAGGTTTACAGGCAACGCTCTGAACACAAAGGAAAGGTGTTGCTTCTTACCGACAGCAGGGAACGGCACAAACCTCTGGATCAGGAGACGAGTGGCCGGGGTAAACTTGTTTGCTCTCTGAATCAGAACATTAAGGCCCACCTTGGAATAGAAAAAAGAAAAAAACAACAAACCAGAGGTGCAGAGACAGTTAATTACAAGCAGCAGGGCAGATGTCACAGCTTGCAGACACTTTGGGGGTCTCATCCCACACAGAAGAGTTTGAGAACTAAACCCCACACACACTGCAGGGTTTTGCCGTGTTGGGTTCAACCCCTTATCCAACAAAGGGATAAATCCAACTGTTGGGCTTAAATGAAGGGTTGATCCCCAGTGTTTGGCTTACTGAGAGGCTTGAACCCAACTGTTGGGCTTAAATGAAGGGTAGGACCCAAGTGCCAGGTTTATATGAAGGGCTGAACTCAAGTGTTGGGTTTATATGAAGGGTTGAACACAACCTTTGGATTGAACCAACCACTGGGTTTAAATTAAGGATTGGACCCAACTACTGGGTTTAAATTAAGGATTGAGCCCACCCATTGGGCTTAAATGAAGAACTGAACCCAGCTATTGTGTTTAAACCCTTTCCAGCTAAAAGACAAGCAAGAAACCACTGAACACCTTTCAGTCCTTCTGGAAATCTCTTAGCTCCATTTTTAACCAGTTGACCAGCACTTTCCACAGCCAGTACCAAATCCTTGGTGCTGGGAACCCTCACCTGGCTGGGAAAAAGCCAAATATCAGTGGTGGTGGTGGTGGCCCAACACAATTAATTCCTTCTCCAGAGTCTGTGCAAACTACACCACCCCACTCCAATAAAAACCTTTGGGCTATAAAGTTTATTATAACCATGGATCAGTTTTTGTTGCCTCCTCCAACACTTAAATAGTGCTCTCCATGATTTTTCATGGATCTAAGTAATTCAGATGTTAATATAAACTAGCAAGGAGGAGTGTTGCTGCCTCATAAGCCCCAGGTTGATAATAAGTGACAGTTCGGAGAACCTCCATCAAAATTGGTTTCAGGCAGAAATGGGGTTAAAAGTTAAACAAACCCGTTCATGGGGAATGACTTCCGTCTTCAAATGACTTCAGATTACTTTCCCTAATAGTATTTGCTCTTTTTCATCCAAAAAAAATGCCCCAAACCCCAAATGCACAAACGAAACCCAACAGCCCCAAGATGGGAATTTTCGGCTGGAAACGTGAGCCTTCAGCAACGTGTGGCCAAAGGGTTTTCAGCCAAAAATGCAGCAAAATTTAAGGAAAAAAAAAAAAAAAAAAGAAAAAATTCAGCCAAAGCCAAAAAGCTGCCAGAAAATAGTCATTTGGGGTGTTTCAAGACGAAAAGCAA